GTGGGGAGGAGGGGGAGACTGGTCAGACAGCAGGTAAGAAGGACAACAGTCCACCCTGAAACACGGGTCTGAGATGCAATGGGCCGGCCAAAAGAAAATGTCCTTGGAAAAAGCTACACAGATCGTTGGTTATTCATCTCTGCTTAACAAAGGGAAGGTACCGTTACGGTACCAACAGTCCCGTTAAATTTTACTTCAACCATGGGCCTCAAGAGCCAGACATATACATTGCAAATATCCCAGGTGGGAGGAACATGATAAGATAACGTTTATTGAAAATAAACTATCCCGCGGACCCCTTTTGAATTACTCGCGGACCCCCGGGGGTCCGCGGACCACAGGTTGGTAACCACTGGTTTAGATAATGTGGGACCCTCAACGTCTCACAACCCTATGGGCCTTCAAGGTCTGTTACAGTGATAGCTTTACTTTAATCTACTATGTATAACACAGTCCGTCAATAATGCAACAAAATGTTCCTTTTTCTCCCGCTTACACTTTTACCAAACATGTTTCGGCCCTAGATGGCAATCTTCAGATGTCTTAATGTATTAAAACTGCTACACTGCATTAATTTGCGCTAAATCACACGCTGTAGTCCACTTAATAAAATAAAATAGTAATGACGGATTCGTTTCGTTTTCATTAATGAGGCCGCAGTAGTCGAGTCGTGGTTTTACAATTATTGTGCCTCATATAGAGAGAGCGCCACTGCCAGGGCATAAATCGCGTTAGTTTTTCACTAAGTTTTCTTGAGGGAAATGAGGAGATTGTTATGAAAATGAGGACTTAAAACACAGTGGTACTTCAGTGGACGTATCACTCACATGAACATTTGATGTCTACATTTTGCCAGCAAAATATGTTTATTAGTTTCAGCTGATTATGGAAATCAAGGCCATCTCAAATCTAAATGCTGCCCAGGCGATGAGAAATTACGCCCTCCCCCATCTAAAAACAATTACTTTTTCTTCAGTACTTCACTGTGATGATAACACGAAATTCCCTGGGATTGTGTCGAAAATCATTAGGCTATTTGTGTCTAATTCTTAAAAAAGCATTAAAGGAAACGGAAATAAACACACATGGCGTCATCTCGTTACAGCTATGGCGGTGTCATACGGGCTTGAAATTACTCAAATACAGACCACAACAGTTCTAACTTACGTATTCAGTTATAAGTTATATTTACACTGTTACGTAACATGTCTCAGTGACTGAAAACAAATGGACAAAAACTGAGCTGAAATTAATTTTAATTTGAGAAAAAGAAAATTAGTTTAAAATGTGCCACCCTAGGAGTCAATAGGTCCATGAAATATTGGCCACTTCTTTGACAAAATACGGAATATGCTTACATTTTAGAGACATGTTTTTGAAAGCCGATGTTTGAAGATTCTCTTTTAAGTCTCCAAATTTATTGCTATATACGCCTATTTTTTTTTCCTTGGCGCTACAGCCCTCATTTGGGCCTAGGCCTACCTCCATGAAACTCTCCGTTTCACTTCTGTTTACTAGATCTTACACATTCGGTAGGACTCCTTGGACGAGTGATCAGCTCGTCGCAAGGCCTCTACCTGTACACAAACACAGAAAAACGCACACAAACATCCATGCCTTGAGTGGGATTCGAACTCACGATCTCGGCTTCCGAGCGCTCGGCTACCGTGACCGGCATATACGCCTATAACTGATATAAATTTCCCGATAGACCAATTGCTTCATCCACAACAAACAAATCAATTATAGGCATATTTGTGACACACAAGGATTAGGATAACGTAAATTGAACTATTTCTTTTCCGTTTATTCCCATTACGTTTCATTATCAAAACTTCTGGAGTACGTATCTTTTCCACAATCAATGTAATGTAAACATACATACACACACACACACACACACAACTATAATCCGCAGCAGCCGAAAGAATAACAGAAAAACAACTTTTTTAAATATATGTATACAGTGTTCATTAGTTTTAAAATTCTGGACTTTTTAGCGTCAATAGCGCACCCAGTATGGAATTGCGTTGGTATTTTAAAACCTGGTGCTATTTCATTGACTTGGCTTTGCCGTATCACTCAAAATGTGGTTACACACATTTTTACTTCTTTATTATTTATGGAAATCCGGTTTATATATGAATAGGGCATTTTACATCAAATTGCAACCAGAACAAAATACCCGAAAACGAAAGTACTAATTAGCTCGTATGAAAAATATCTGTGGAGGTAAGCTGCTTATATATATATATTCCTCCCAGCCGCACTATGGCCCTGGGGTTGACTCAGCCTCTAACAGAAATGAGTACCAGGAATTAATAAAATAATTTTCCTGGCGAGTAAAGCGCTGCCGTCGCGTAAGGCTGACAAGAGCAGATTGTTCTAGATAATGTGGGACCCTCAACATCTCACAACCCTATGAGCATTCACGGCCTGGTACAGGGATAGCTTTACTTTTTACTTTATACGTGTATATATATATAAGCAGGCGACAGGCGTTGGTCCTTTGGGATATAGTTAAGGTAAATTTGTCCCTGTGATTAATTAAGTAAACAGTATGTAATGTAGACATACGTGTAGTGCTGACTTAGTGTTTACTATCCCTTATTGCACGAGAAATAAGAGAACATGTTAGGGTATGTCACGAAAAATTTCGGACTTAAACACATTCTTTGTCATGACGACACCTAAGCAGCGGAATAAGGAATCTGGGAAGGCGTGGGAAGGATTCAATTGGCTCATTTGAACAGTAATACCCTTTAAATACAGGACATTTTAAATGGCGGTAGAGTGAACTGGGCGGAATTTATTTAAATGCCCGTTGCCGTTAGGCGTTTAAATGTCCTTCGCTGTTTGGCATTTTAAATAATTTTAAGTACTTTATTAAAAATGTTGTATCTAACATAATTTTTATGATAAGGAAATGGAGTTAACCTTGTTTTTATCAGCAAAGACCACAATGTCACATATTGTAACGTAAGATTTTAAAATGTTTAGCCAAAAAATATATACTCCTTTTTGTAATTTTGTAATTTTTATGCGTATTTTATAAAAGAGTTTCCCGCTTCTTCACAAAATGGTTCTGTATTATAAAATAATTCATTTCTGTAACACTTAACATACTGTGTTTGTTTAGAAGTAAACACAGACAAAACTAAGTACCTTCTGCCGCCGCGTCTTTTGTAAACGTAAAAATTAGAATATAGAAAACTACAATTTTGCCTGTGGTTTCGTATGAGTGTGAATCGTGGTCTCTGATATTAAGGGAGGAAAGTAGACCGAGTGTGTCTGAGAACAGGGTGCTGAGGAGAATATTTGGAGCAAAGGGAGATGAAGTGACAGGAGGTTAGAAAAACTGCATGATGAAGAACTTCATAACTTGTATGGCATGTAGCAGGAATGGGAGGGCAGATGAATACATATATCATTTTGCTGAGAAAGCCAGAAGGAAAGAGCTACTAGGAAGACCTAGACGCAAGTGGAAGAACACTAATAGAATTGATCTTAAAGAAATAGGATGGGTTGGTACGGACTGGATTTGTCTCAGGACAGGGACCAGTTGAAGGCTCTTGTGAACACGATAATGAACCATCGGTTCCATAAAATGTTGGGAAGTTTTTGAGTAGCTGCACAACTGGCAGTTTCTCTAGAAGGTTTGTTAGGTGGTACTTGCGTTTTAATGGAGAACAGTCATGACTGGGACTCAGTAGGAAGTGTATTTTCGAGTATTTGTGATCGGATTATTATATTTAAATGTTTACAGAATAACCTAGTAGGTGGTGTGCAGAATAGTAGAAACAGTGGTAATGGTGGTGGTTACGTATGGTTATTTCGTTTAACTAGCGAAATGTGTGTATCTTTCAGGGATATTTGTGTTTTGAGTGACATTTCTGTAGCACAAAGGACCACGGTGTGTTTGCAATTGTGTGCAATGATCACGGTTCACTACGTAGTTGTTGGTAATACAATCAGAAGAAGAAATATCCCGTTTCAAGCTGTTTTAATCGGGTCGGTGGATGTTGGTCACAGTGGTCACAGTCTTTAGGGTCTTTAGCGTCGTTAATGACTTATATGAGATTTCGAGCGAGGGAGTTAATTTTATTCCTGTTTTCCCATTTCTGCAGTGTGCGTGTAGTGTGAATATATTTAGATTGGTGTATCCTGTTAAGGTGAGTTTTACAGTGGTAGTGGTAGCTCGCGAAATTGGCCTTTCCATAATTGAAAGTGGCAGAAATTTTGTAGTGAATATAGATTTTTGTATTCTTGGGAAGTGTGCCAGAGTTATGCTACGTTTTAAGCGAATTTTTAATAGCCCTGATGCCGGGTTGTATCCAGAATGTATAAGGAGAGTGGTGCATAATTAAGTACGGTCTCTTGATCTTAGTTAACATTGCATACCATTCCAGAGTTCACGAGACAGTAAAAGTAACAGCAGTTCATGTGCAAGAAAGTTTGAAAACATAAGAACATGTAAAACTTTCCACAGAATTCCAGTTCTAATCACAATTATTATATCAGTCTGTCGGAATAGCATAGTCGGTATGGCGACTTGCTTACACCCTGAACACAGATATCATACGTTTCCCCAAAATGTCAGGCCTTCTCCAAACTACAAGGTGTTACAAGCCACAAGACCACACTCTGCATGCATATACATGAACAACACAGGCTTTGAAACATACTTAATTATCTTCCTAAATTTTACATATGATTATCATACTTTTAATCCTGTCTAGAAAACCAGGAATAATGGCTGTGGGGATCTGTTGCACTGACCACACAACACCCTCTATCCACTAAAGTTGACACTAACTTCGCCAAGAAGCGGCGGTCGCTCAATCGGTATAGTTCACTTGTGGACTACAGGCCACAGAGTTTTGTTTTTGTTTGTATCATACTTTTAATGCATTTTGACTGAGGCTAAGAATGTAGTCACCACAAATCTGTGAAGTTGCTGATGGTGAGTGGCAGATGTATTTCAACAGACTTGACAAAAATGCAACACATCAGCTTTCAGCGTTTTGTGAATTTCATAGTAATTAACATTGTGGTCTTCTGGGACATGACACTATATAGTTTGTAGATAATAACATTTTAGATGAAACTGCTGCCTCCATCTTCAGGGTAGATGTTATATCCAAAAGAGGGGGCAGCATGGTCCTCCAAATCATTGGTATCCATCTACAGACCAACATGACATCACATTTGAGAAGAATATAACCTTCATACAACTGTGAGATTCTTAGATCCCTTTTATGTAGAAGATACTCTCTGCAACATTCGCACATTTTGATCTAGTTATTCTACTCTGAAGATAGAGGTATCTGGTTCATGCAGAACATTGGTACATGTATCACATTATACGGTGTTACAGTCCAGAAGATTAATCTTTTTACTCACTGGTGTGAGAACCTCAAATCTCATTCTGTAGGAATATTTTCATTAACTGTACCAGTGCCTGTGATGATTCTACCAAAGGAGACCTTGTCTGTCAGTCATTTCATCCAGTTGTAATATTGGGCAGTTCACATTTTCCATTATCACGAGTACAACACGGTGCTGAGTAAGATTAGCTGTACCTCAGACAGAAATGGAAATGTTGCCATTACAGGAACAAATTTTATTTATTATTCTATTCACATTGTGTTGCAGCTTGTATAGGACATCATCAGATGATCTTGAGGAATGCATAATGGTCATGGATTACATGAACCAGTGCTAGTATGGAATTTGTTGGTTAACTTTTAGTGTGTCAGATTCAGCTTAATTCTATGCGTACGTTTAACTTAAAATTAATCATTTGTGTTATAGTTTTTAACAAAATTGAAAATTAAACTGAAGCATTGCAGGGGGAAATCCTATTGAACATACAGTCAACTCTCGATTATCCGGGCTAATGGTGGGGATGGAAGTCACGGTTAATCGAAAACCCGGTTAAGCCAAATTTTATTATACGGGCTGGACGACTGTGAAGGGTCGGAGTTCGAGTCCCGGTAGGGTCAAGAATTTTAACTTCTCCAAATCGTCCAGACCGGCTCTGGGGTCCATCCAACCTCCTATCCAATGGGTACCGGGGGCTCTTTCCCCGGGGGTAAAGCGGCCGGGGCGTGAAGCTGACCACTCACCTCCAACTAGTGCCGAGGTCAAGAAAATTTGGATCTATACATCCACTCCCCCACACGCCTTAATGGCGTAGGGCTTAATTCGTTGAGCAGAGGAACAACTTTACCTTTTACCTTTTAATACCTTCATAATACTATAGACCTACCTGTATTTAAATTTATTCATCCTCATTTCTATGTCATCTCATGGCCTATTTAATACTTTCTTTACATTACACTCAGTATGAATTAGTTATTTCAATCACTGTTCAACAACATCCAGCACTTTTTACGGTCACACTTAACACTTAAAATAATTTAATACTGTCTTTTGCTTTTTCGCGGCATTTTCCTTTTTACGGATATCCGTACGAAGCCTACGTAATATTAGCTTGTCACTTAATAAACTGTCCTCTTCACTCTCAAGATAGTCTAGTAAGGATTCCAAATGATTAAGCGCAGCACCATGTGATACTTTCTTACTGGCAACACTGTCCACCTCTTCCTCATTCTCACTTTCTTCCCGCTCTTCTGGCTGCACCCCCATTGAAGTTACGATTTCGTCACTGCTTAACATTTCGAAGCCCGGTTCACACGAGTCACAGTTAAACCACTCTCTTATATTTTCCTCGTTGACTTCTTCACCACCATGAACTTGGTTAGCCACTTTTGTCAATTTTATGGCTATCTCATTTTCACTGAATCCAGTGAATCCATGGATTTCGTCATCTTCATTAGTGATGAAAGGCATCAGTTTCTTCCATGAATTTTTCAATACAGATGGCTTTACTGTATCCCACGCTGTTGAAATCTCGTATATGGCATCTAATACTGAAAAGGACTTCCAGAAACACGTCAGATCATTGCCTTCATCGATGTACTTTTGTAGCAAATTTGATCTGTAGATTCTCTTCATACTTGAGATAACTCCTTGATCCATTGGTTGGATAAGTGCGGTAACATTAGCGGGAAAATATTTCACAAAAATATTTCCATCATCTGACCTCAGGAGACTTTCGTTAGGATGTGAGGGCGCATTGTCAATGAGGAGCACAGCTTTCTCAGGTAGGCCTTGGGATTTTAGATGGTCACGAACTTGAGGCACGAATTTAAAATCAAACCATTCTTTAAATATCGCTCTATTCATCCAAGCTACTTTCTGGTTAAAATAATGGATAGGCAGACTTGAAGCTACTGTTCCTTTAAAAGAGCGTGGTCTTTTCGCTTTGCCGATAACTACTGGTATTAGTTTGTGTGTTCCTGATGCATTAGAACAGCACAAGACTGTCAATCTCTCCTTACTGGATTTGTGACCTGGAGCCTGTCTTTCATTTTGAAATGCCAATGTTCTGGTTGGCAAGCATTTCCAATAAAGACCCGTTTCATCGGCATTATAGATTTGTTCTGGCAGCAGATTTTCACTTTTCACAAAACTATCAAAATTGGTGCAAAATTGATCTGATGCTGACAAGTCCCCTGACAATTTCTCACCTTGAATACTGATTTCTCGTATTCCATGACGCTGCTTGAAACGTGTTAGCCAACCGGAAGAAGCGTCAAAACTCCCTTCTAGTTCAAGTGCTTCGAAAAAATATTTAGCTTGTTTAGCACAAACTGGTCCTGTTATTGTTGTTCCCTGTGCCCTTAGTTGATTAAACCAGGTCAGCATCGCTTTGTCGAGATCATCGTATGTTGATTTCTTCATGGTTTTTCTCTTCTTCATTCCGCTTGAATTAGAAGACGAAGCAAAGGAAATTAACTCATTCTTTTGTTTTTTCAAATCACGAACAGTTTGTTCTCCAATACCGTATTGCATTGCTAATTGTTTAACTACAGCTCCTTTTTCCAGCTGATTGATAATTTCAAGTTTCTGTTGAATACTTAACACAACACGCTTCCTTTTAAACCCCGACATTTTGCTAACGCACTTGAAGATCTATATTAAGAAACTGATACTTACTTTCACAATGCACTCTCACACTGAGATGGTACCGTTAAATAACCTGGGGCGGTGTATTTGTCCTTGAAACTTTCCAAAAATTCTTGCATTCTTTCACCCCCACCCTAGAACATTGTGTTCGCATAACGGGACGAAATAATGCAGAGCTCGGTTCACACTAGTGCGAAAATAGTGTTAAACTCACCATGTGAAACAAAAGTGAATGAATATTAAACAACATATAAACTTAAAAAAAAAAGCCCCGGTTAAGCCGCAAACCGGTTAATCCGCCCCCGGATAATCGAGAGTTGACTGTATTCTGGTTATTTTTATGTTGCTGGATCTTTGAGGAGATTTTTAGTTCCAGTGGTCACTCTGGTGGTCTGCTACTGTTGTGGATGGACTGGGTTATGTAAAAAATATTTTTTGCTGAGTTAATTGTATATTGAGTTGATTTGTGAAAAAGGGTAAATGTACATTATTTAGCTATGAGGAAACATTGGAGGGATTTCTTGTAAAGGTCTGTTCAGTGGTGCTATGGAACTTGACTGGGGGTGCAGTGTGGCTAATGTGTTTGCATAGTTGTGGGTCATTGGGGTTGTTGGTATCTGATGTTGTAAATTGTGTTATATGAATCTGCATATGTGTTATTCAAATGAATGCCACGTTTTATAGTTGTACCTCCTCTCACTCATATGTCCTCTTGGCTTGGTGCCTAAATACAGAGACAGTATTTACCTTTACCTTTTCACTTCTTTTAATTTTCACACTGATATAAGGGTAACACTATGGACTTGTATTTGAGGGGCACTGAGTTCTAAACTTGACTGGGACACCAGCTATCCTGACATGGTCTTTGTGGTTTTTACCAGTGCCCCCATGCAGTTGCCAAGGTGGTACTGTGATTAGACCAGGACCACTACTTTCCAAATTCTTTCTGTTTTATTATTCATCTGCCTTTCTACCATTCAGTACTGTGTAGTCTTAGATACTGATTAAGTGGCTCCGTAGTTTAGGGGTAACGTTCCCACCTCATGACTCGTGGTACGCGGGTTCAAATACCCGGCGGAGGTCGTCGAATTTTTAAGGGCGGAAAAATTCAGGGAACAAGTCCTCCGGGAGGGATTTTAAGCTGTGTCCCCCATGTCGTAATTTTACAGCACGTAAAAGAACCTCATACCCCCAAAGGGGATCACTGAGCCAAATTCCAGGATGTTTCCCGTCCAACAATATCCTCTAAGGCATCTGATAAATGGGGGAAGCATTATAGACACCACTAAGCAACTGGCTGAACTCACTTGCTTGGCGGGACTGATGGTACGCACCATTTATCGGTAGGGTAAAGAGATTGGTAGAATATCATAGAGGGAAGCACAATAGATCAAACTGGTCGCAGTGCATGGGGAAACCCACCCTCTCTAAATAACTAACTAACTAGATACTGATTATCGTAAAATAAAATGCATTAAAGAAAGGATATATGAAATTGGCAAATTCCCACTACCTTCCCTCATACATTCTGGCATATCAGTTTATTATCACATTTGCAGTTTATATCCTACCATTTCTGAAAATGAATCTTGTATTGTATAGTGATCTGTATCATAGGATTTGTTTCAGAGCTTTGGATACATTATTTAATTTAGAATGATGTGTATGTATTGCAGTCTGAAGATGGCACTTCCATCTAATTACAAGGCTATAGCAGCAGCATCACCAGCTCCTGCACCAGGCAGTCGTGAGTTATCTTTCTATATTGTTCTTGTTTTAGAACATCTTGAAAGGTTTTATGCAGCTTAGTAAGTATGATAATTCTGTACTATCAGTTTCCAGCACAGACTACAATTTATTTAAGGTTATAGGAAAGCATTTATTTATTTAAGGATAATTGTAAATGGGAAAATAGGGCAGGGAAGACCAAGAGTTTAGAATGTGAGAATACACATAGGGCTACATGATGATGATAGGAATTATGCAGTATTTAAAATTAACATCAATAGCTGTAAAGAACACAAATAATTATTAATATATTGGAGGACTGCCATAACCTCTGGTGCTGAATGAATACAGGCCTGTATAAATTAGAACTTGACTCAAATAAATAAATAAATAAATAAATATAGACTGCAATACAAGAGGGGCTGAAGGAGATAACATGAATTAACTAATCATGAAAGAAATATATTTTTTTTGTTAAACAATAAATTGAAAGTTCTGGCTAAATGGAATCCTAGGAGAACATATCCTAGTAAAAAAATGAATGATTTTCTTATCTTTAATTTAGGGACATTCCTTTCCTACATGTAGTGACACCCTGTATGGCAGTGTGTCGCAGTAACATATGGAGATATAGATGGTTTCAGAAAATTAAAAATTTAAATATATTAATGCTCACCTGAAGAGAAGGCCAATTTCTTTTCCAGTAGATGAATATGTAGTGAATTGTTCTGTGAATTCCACAAAGGACAATTTTCCTTTTCACTCCCTTGACTTTTTAAAGTTTAGGCTTCCTATTGGTGGATAAAGGAGCATTTGCTTTAGGGTGTGGAATCCTCTCTGTAGAACCAGCACAAGAAGAGACTGCAGTGAGCTCTCCATGTGTGCAGGAAATTTTTCTCTTTTACAAGATCACTTTTGTTTTAATCCTAATTTTATTCAATTTTTATATTAATTTTATTGTCAAAAATAACACGGGAACAGTATGGTCTCTTAACTTGAAGTACTTTGAATTGCCTACTTGTTTGTAAAGGTTCAGGACAACATTTCAGAACCTAAAGGTATAAATTATCGATGTAAGATACGCAAATTTGCTCATCGTAAGAGAGAACAAGATTACAACAATTATTTGTCCTCAGCTTGCTGCTGAAATGGCCCATGTAGTAGATAATCATCAGTGATTAATAAAAAATTTGAAAAGAAAGAGCAAAAACTGTCCTCTGTAAACTTGTAGAACTACTGAATGTCTGTCTGTTTTAAAAATATAGAATATTTTAAAGTGTAATTTTGTATTGTACCTTGATTAGATTCAGCTGTATCTCAGCATGTTTGTGTTGAAACACTGCCCTGTATGGTAACAGAATGTGGAGGAGAGACATGCATACAAATAAGAAGAAAAAGAGCAAAAAACAGTTGACTTTCACAAAATTTGAACTTCTGCAGAACGTACTCTTATTTCTTCATGTTTGAAAAATTTATAACTCAGTTTTTTCCTCACAGAAAATGGTAAATTGTGGATCAGATTAATTATCCAGTAGAAGAACATATTTGAATTACTGATGTCTGTTGTTGTTACTTAATATTTTACATCTCCAGGTTCTTGGAATCACCCACATGTTAATTTTTATGACCTTCAGAACATAATTCTCGTGGGGTTAGCTGTATTGAAAACTGTATTGCTGTATTCAAATGGCATGTCTTTGGTATTTCAAATGCATAAAATTGTAGTCCACTATTATAACTACTTGGAACACAACTAAGTTATCAAAAAGTAAATAAAAAATGAACAGACATTACACCATTTACCCAGTGTCCCATGTAGAATGGAATTTTTCTGAAAGGCACATATACTCGTAAAGGAGTAAAATACATTGACTTCAAATCAGATTTTTTTTTTGCTTAATTTTACAATACCATCAGTATGTCTGGCTATATAGCATCAAAAGTTAAATGCTAACAGCTACTGTTAGAGTGAAGTTTATGAAGGAACATCCTGTCAAAGGTGATGAATTTTTTGGTGAAAGCTTTGGATATTTAATTATAACATTGTCACATGGTGTGATTATGCTTTATTATTCACAGTCATGTAGTTAATATTGTAACAGATTTGATCAGCCTGTTGCCAGGCAACAGCTCTGTAAACACGGTCCAACATGCAACAGTAGGGGAAGCTGTGTTTTCTGTAGATCCGACCAGTGCGCCAGTAGACAGGCTGGATAGCTTTCACGTGATATGTGTTTACTGTAGGTCCTTATCCATTTTGCGACTTTATAAGTAAGTGACACCATTCAGGGCGGTTACGAGTTATGAGTCAAGTCGTAAGCTGGAGGGGTGAGTCCAGAAGAAATTTTAGTTCCGACGTTCCAGAGTGATTAAAGATGAAATAGCAAGAAGATTTCATCGTGATTTGAAGTGCTAATTTCTGTGTTGAGATCCATTGCCAGGAGACGACTAGCAGAAACTGAGAATCCTAGGGCGTGTGCAAAGGTGAACTGGAAAGTGAGTAAATCAGTGATAGTGCTGTATTAATAACTGTAATTAAGAGAACTTGTAACCAAATTGCTAATAAATCTACAATCATCTGATCTAGAACCCGCTATTTTCGTCACACATAATCCCCAACACATGACAATATGCTCACATGATTTAGATTATGGTCTTCTGGGTTGTGACATCATGCAGTCTCATAATCTGGAAGAATACAATCTAAATGTTCCCAGTTGTGAAAACCTCAAATTTTATGCTTGTATGATTGTGTTGTGTGGTTTACCATCCAATACATATAGCCTGTGTTTGTTAATTTTTAACTAACTGCCATGAAAATAGTTTATATGCTGCATGGTTGGTTGAAGCTCTTAAATTATCATCTCCTGGTAAGTTATATGTACGTTCATGATGAGAATGTTTTGAGGTAAATCATCAAAATAGAGCAGTTCTTCAGTTTCATTTGCACTAGTGTGCTAATGTTAACTTTAAGCGCAGTTTACTGCGATTCTTACATTAACCATCCTACATATGCAACTACGAAACAGACCACCAGTACTGAAATGGTTAATAATTGAGACGAAATCTAAACATAATTAGATTTATTGTGTACTTCTTGTAATGAGTTGGATTTTTTCATCTGCATCCAAAATGTGGTATGTATATGTTTATTTTGAGCATGCTGCTAATGTAATTATTATTGTTTAACCTCATATTAGCTTTAGCTGAGCTTATTTACATTACTTTTCCCTTGTAGTGCTAGTAGCATGTAAAATTCTTTAGGTTTTTATACTGAAATGTTTCTTCAGAAAAAACAGATGAGCACGCTAATTTACCGAGGACCCCTCATTACAACAGAGGGCTCTGTATATTGTAATGAAACTTAAAACTGAAAAATTACATTTTTAAAGCTGGTCATGTTATTGGGCTCATTGCAAGACCAGTGAAATGATCTGTACATTTTCACGCACTTCTAGAATAAGTAAACCAATTTTCTTCCTAGAAGAACCAAACTAGACCTCAGAAATACAGGTTATGTCAGTTTGCTTAGTATTATAGTGTATGAGGTACTATTCCTAATACCCGTGAAAATCTGGTCCATTTTAAAATACAGCAGAATTATAAGCCATGTGTTTAAAAATTATCTTAGCTATATGAATGTTACTGAAAAGTAACACGTCACTATAATGCAGCACTTTTTTTTAAAAGCATGCATGTCAGTTCTCTCACACTTGTTTGCAGCCTCAAGGTTGGAACGTAACAGTGAATGCACTGGCAGAAGTGAAGTGTTGACAAGTTCACCAATATTCCAGTGGCTGTAATGTGTGGATGTCAATTTTTCATGGGGACCCACATTTTCTGATACACTCTGGTCTTTGTTCCATGGGTATCCAATTTGAATCTAAGCTAATATAAGCCATCCAGTAATTTTTCATGGTGTAGGCAATTTTAAAATAATACCTTAAATAGGCCCCAGCCTCTTTCCTCCCTTATTCCTTCTGACTTACTGTTCATAATCATCCCTTTCCCTTTAGGATTTGGGATAGTGTAATCATATAGTGTCTAGGCTATGGGGCTGGACAGCTGAAGGACTGGAGTTCAATTCCCAGCAGATTCACGCAATTAATGACCAATAAGAACCTGCTTATACCCAGAGGTCTAGTAGTGACAAAGACAGGAAGTTTGCAGCATGACGCTCTGTTGAAATTATGTGGACTAATTTCTCCTACAGTTCTCATTGAGACTCACACATAGGAGAATTGTGGTAATAGCTTGTCAGAACTGAGACTTGGACTCTTTTAACCTAATGAATGTCTAGCTCTTTCATTGAAATCAGTATGTGACTAATGCAGTTTCTCCTACTTTCCAAAAATCAGAAGGCGCGGTCTGCTTATCAAGACTAATACTGCCAGCACTTTGGATTCTCAGCAGTCCGTGCTTGGAGTTATTACACACATCTTGATCGAATTCATGTCCATGGTGTGTATCGTTAAGATAGTATCTTCTAATTGACCATCGAGGGCCACTCCATAGCTCAAGCGGTTAGTCGCTTGCTCCCCACCGTGGTGGCTTGGCTTCAATCCCGGGTCTGGTCAAGTGGGATTTGTGGTGGACAAAGTGGCGCTGGGGCAGGTTTTCTCCAAGTATTTCGGTTTCCCCTGCCAATCTTCATTCCACCAATTGCTCCACAGTCACCCTCACCTATCATCTGGGGCTGGTACAATAGGCCAGAAGTGGCAGCAGTACAAGGGACTTAGTCCCACCCCACCAGCAATAAAGAAAAATAGACCATTGACATCTGTCACAATAATTTATCTCCAATATTTAACTACTGATACATTCCAAATGTTACTGATTTTGATGTGATTATTTTTGGTTTGGGCTTCTTCTCTGTTTGTGAAATTGTTTTCTTTGTCCTTTGAAGCCCTGAATTACAGTTTCTGGTTATTTATACAAAAGAACAAGGCCCTTTTATTTCATTAACTGGATTGTTGTGCCTTGTTTCATACTTCAGAACATTTATTAATTGCTAAAGTATATAATGCGCGGAAAAGAAGATCTTGTGGAATACTTGACAACTCTTCCTTTGTTGAAACATTCATCCTCTTGCATGCCAGTCAAAATGTGTGTGGACTATGTAAATTTCTGGTTGAAATATAGTTCATGGACTAGGCCGCGCCATAGCTCAAGCAGTTAGTGACTGGCTTCCCACTACGGTGGCCCTGGTTCGATCCCGGGTCTGGTCAAGTGGGATTTGTGGTGGACAAAGTGACGCTGGAGCAGGTTTTCTCTGAGTACTTTGGTTTCCCCTGCCAATCTTCATTCCACCAATTGCTCCACAATCACCCTTGCCTATCATCTGCGGCTGGTACAATAGGCCAGAAGTGGCAGCAGTACAAGGGACTTAGTCCCACCCCACTAGCAATAAAAAAAAAGTTCATGGGCTACATTGATTTTTTTTCCTCGTTATTAGCAACACTTTGTTTTGTATTGATTGGTCTCCATGATACTGGTCATAAGTTACATCTGGAAGTTGAGAATCCACTGAGAACTTTACAAACCAAAGTGTTGACATTTTGTTAGCTTGCACATCTGACATAGAGACTCTGTACAATTTATATTAATTGTAGTATTATTTTTGGTTTGTTGAAGTGCATCTATTAACATTTGTTCCTTATTCATGCCCATTGAATGCTTTCCTTCATTGTAGTTCATTTTGTTATGAAATGCTTTTTTGTATTTCTTATTTAGATTTGCTGTCAGCTGGTGCTCCTATGACTTTCAACATTTTGAAAGGTAAGATGTTGATCTTGACAAAACTCATCAAACTGCTATGTGACACACTTTCCAGACAGTAATGCTGGTTTCATGACTAAATATTTCAGAAATGACAAAATGTGTTTTGACTAAAGCTGTCGTAGTGGATTAGTGATTACTTACACTTTTATTCTAAAGGAGGTTTATCATCAAAACAAAATTGCTGTTTGAGCTTGTGATAGAGAAATGTGTTAGATAAAATATAACTATTCATTTGGTACAGTTCATCTGCCTCTTAGATGCAGGTTCAATATACGTGGTCTGACAAATACCTTGTTTGTTGATGCTTATAAGAATCACCAGGCTGGTGACTACAGGTTTTTTTTTTTCAGTTAGTATTTTGTTGGTGTTGTGTTATGTTTGTCAGAAGAAGTACCTGACCTTTTTGGAAAAAGCTGTGGTCAGACACAAGTCTTCTGATGTGACCCAGACATAAAATACCCAAGTGCATTATTCATTACAGATTTGTTCCTCCAGAACAGTCAGTCAGTCGTTCTGTCTTTGAGTTTTGAACCCTTATACCAGCACATGCATTGAAAGAGACCAAGTGTTTTACCAAGCAAGTGGATTTTGTTTCATAACAGTGGACTTTCTGACACAGTATTTTTGGTAGGGCAATTCATTCCCCCCACCCCCACCCCAACCCCTGGAACATCCATTGTACACTTGTGTCTGACCTGTGGGACTAACATCTTCTGAAAAAGGCTGCAGTTTGAATCACATGAAACAATTCAGAGCAGTGTAATAACAGTACAAAAAGTACTTTCAGAATGTGAATTCCAGCGATGTCGTGATTTTTCAGCAGAGACACTGTAATGCACGTCTGAAGTTATAAATCTATGGCATTGAAAACTCTAAAAGATAACAAGGAAATAAGAATTCTACAGGGTGAAAGAGGAAACTGCACATTAGTGTTGAGCGAGTCCACATACTAGGTGAAGATCCTGACATCCCCCTTAGCCCATTAGTTAGCACTGTTGACTCTTGCCCTAGCAGATTTTCTTAATAAGATCCAGGGTCATCTATTTGGCTATACAGACTCCATGAAGAACCTAGAACACTTCATAAAATTAATACAGGATATCAACCTTCAAAATAAAGACTACCTTATAAGTTTTGATGCCAGTCTATTCACCACCATACCAGTGGAAGAAGTCTTACAGGTCATAAGAAATAGATTGAATGTGGATCCTTCTTTCCCAGAATGATCACCTTTACAAGTTGAAGACATAATGGAATTGCTTGACGTCTCTTTAACAACTGCATACTTTCAGTTTAAGGATAAATTCAGTCAGCAAAAAGAGCGTATGGCAATGGAAAACTCGTTATTCCGAGTGGTCAGTAATATATTTATGGAACACTTTGAGAAAGTAGCATGGATACAGCAGATCACAAACCTCCTAAGTGGCTCAGATATGTTGACGACACTTCGTGATTTGGCCACATGGACCAACAAGATTGCAGCAATTTCTTCAATATCTGAATAGGGTTAGACCTACCATCAAATTCACAATGGAAAATGAAGCTAATGATACCTTTCTGTTCTTGGACCTTTGGTCATAAAGAGGGGACCTGAATTGGCCACGAAAGTATACCAGAAATCCGTTGAGAAGCAACCATCCTCCTTCAGATACAGTACACCAGGGTACTGTCACTAACACATATATTAAGGGTGTCTCCAAGAATTTCAGATGCATTGCAAACCGTTTCAATGCCAGGACCATTTTTGAAACCAAACATACATTGTGGGACACTGATGAAAATGGACCAGTTAGAGATGCCCAGCGGACAATATCCCATGTGATTGTTGCCGATGTTACATTGGAGAAACAAACAGACCTTTAGAAGCACACATTAAAGAGCGCAAATATAACTTGACACAAGGTCTGCTTGAAAAATCAAAATTATCCCTACATGCACACGAAGGAGGCCGCAAAATATGTGGGAAAGAAGCGAAGATCTTGCAGATTGAACCAGACACCAGTTACAGGAAATACAAGAAATCTGCCCACATGTTGCTTATATCTCTAATAGATGAATC